CCTGGCCGGGCGTGGCTCAGCGGTTGAGCATCGACCTAGGATCCAGGAGATCTCGGTTTGATTCCCAGTCAGGGCACATGCCCTGGTTGCAGGCTTGATCCCCAGCCGGGGGCGTGCAGGAGGCAGCCGATCAATGACAACTCTCTCATCACTGATGTTTCTATCCCTCTCTCTTCCTCTCTCTGAAATTAATAAAGATTTTTTTTTTTTTTTTTAAAGAGAGGGAGGGCAGGGTGCGGGGATGGAGCATGTACCTCTGGCTGGTTCTAGGCGGCCCATCTGCCTGGGGTTCTTTCCTCACATATTTATGTCCTTGCTTTGTCTTCATTCAGCATTGAGTACATGCTGTGTTCCAGGGATGATACTGGGAACCCAGCAGTGAACAGAACAACCAATGATCCCTTCCCCGTGGATTTCATGTTCTGGCAGGAGAGGCAGAGAGTACACAATATAAACACACCCATAATAGATATTGGGGTACTAAGCGCTATGGGAAAATGATGAGCGGGAAAGGGGATCGGGTGCTGAGTGGGGAGTTTGTGATTTTAAATAGATTGTGTGAGAAGGTGGCATCTGAGTTAGAAAACTGAAGGCGGTGAGGGTTGAGCCATCCTTGCATCCTGGGAAAGTGAGTTCCAGGCAGAGGGAATAGCCAGTGTGAAGGCCTTGAGGCAGGTGTTTAAAGAACAATGAGGACTTCCAGAGAGAACAGATGGTGTAAAGGCCCTGAGGCAGGAATGTGCCTGGCTTGGTTGGTGGGGGGAATCATACATTGTTGCTTGTTTCTCTGCCTCGCCAGGGCAAAGGTGTGTGGGAGAAGACCCGTTTGGCTCTGGAGACTGAGGTGTCCGAGCTACGCGCGGAGCTGAGCAACCTGCAGGCCACACGTCAGGAGGGCGAGCAGCGGAGGCGCCGCCTGGAGTCACAGCTCCAGGAGGTGCAGGGCCGGGCCGGAGATGGGGAGCGGGCACGAGCTGAGGCTGCCGAGAAGCTGCAGCGAGCCCAGGTGAGCCTCTGCTGTGTGACCTAGAGTGAGACTCCTGCCCTCTCTGGGCTTCTGTTTGGTCCACATCAACCCTGTTGTCTCTCTCTTCCAACTTTTCCAACATAATTATGTGTGGATAGCTAATATTTGGCTCTAGAGCCATTCTGCCTGGGCTCAAATCTCAGTCCCACCACCTGTATCTGTGCTTCCATGCACACTTCCTGACCTCTCTGTGCCTCAGTTTTCCTTTATGGAAACTGGGGATGATGGTGGTATGTACCTCATAGGGTTGGTGTGTGAATCCAGTGAGCCAACAGTTGTAAAGTGCTTAGGATAGTTCCTGGAACATTCTGTTTATCCATTCATCAGATGATGGACATTTGAGAGGCTGTACCTTTCACTGTTGTGATGTTGTGAGTAATGCTCCCATGAACGTCCCTGTATATGTTTTTGCGTGGACATATGTTTGCATTTCTCGTGGGCCCACACCTAGGAGCAGGATTGCTAGGCAGTATGGAAACTGCCGTTTGAGGGACTGTTTTCCACAGTGGCTGTACCATTTACCTCCCACTGGCCGCGTAGTAGGGATTGGAGGTGGAGGAATAGCTGGGGTCAGCTGAGTGGAAGCCGCCATTGGAAGCTGCCCCTTTCCCACAGGCTGAACTCGAGAATGTGTCTGGGGCACTGAGTGAGGCCGAGTCCAGAGCCATCAGGCTGAGCAAGGAGCTGAGCAGCACGGAGGCCCAGCTGCATGACGCCCAGGTGACTGCACCCCCCC